GGGGTCTTGTATTTTATTCGTCACTTGGGCAATTAGAAATCACTGCTACCCCTCTCCCCAATGATTCCAAGGCGACAGAAGAACTGGTGACAAATCTGAATTACTTTACCATGTAAATGCCATGTTGGAGACCACAGCTGCCAGAGAGGAAATGCAGAGCCATCTGCGGGCCTGTCCACACGTCAGGGCGGCCTCTAACCCTCTGCAGGGGTTAAGTCCTGCTGCTTGAGACCCCCAGGGATGCTCTGTCACCCCGCCGGGTGCTGTCCTCACTCAGTGTCATTACGGCTGATACTCTGTCACCCCAGTTCCTTCACACCAGGCAGCCCCAACCTGGTGTGCACACAGTAGGTCCCCCCTTCCCGGTTAATTCATGATCCTGTTCCTCAACCAGCTGCTCTTCCAGAGCCGCCTTAAACAATGGGGTCCCCGAAAGTGCAGGACTTCTCCACGGCAAGGTTGTAGCTGTCACCCTTCCCGCCTTTGTAGGTGCTGGTGACAATCCGCATCCAGCCTCTCTCGCCCTGTGAGGAACAGCGGGGTCATCGGTCACCTCCCCACCCCCCCAAACCCCCCTTCCGCTCCTGACATAGGTGGATGTTTCTGTTTGCCTCCATCACGCGGATCCGAACCACCTACTCAGCTGCCCCTTCAACCTTTCCCATGACCCCAAGCCAGAAATACCTGTGAAATATTTCACTTGGCTAATATTTAACAGGAGGGGTACATGGTCCTGGATGCCAAAAGCTAATTAATGTGACAAAACCTGGTGATTTTTTCAGACGAGATGACTTATCTACCTGTTGACACCCCACTCCTAGTCCCCTAACGCACATCTCCCACGTCGGTCACTCCCCGTGCACGTGTCTGTCCAGCACTGTTAACCGCTAAGGCCAGGGCTTAGACAGTCCGCTCTGACAGCTAGTTACCTCCCCTGGGCGTCTGACCCAACTCGGAAGGCTTTTTGAAAAAACTACATAACGTGACAGGGAAAAGAATGAGTGGTTGTAGAAGAATAAACGAGACAGACACCCCTAAAGCTGTGGTTCTCGTTGAGGGGCCGTTTTGCCCCCCAGGGGGACATCCGGCAAAGTCTGTAAACGTTTCTGGTGTCATGGTGGGGAGTGAGGTGGCGGCGGGGCACGAGGACTACTGACACCCAGCAGTAGAGGCCTGGGATGGTGTTCAACACCCTACAGTGCACGGGACAGCCCCCCAGTGGGAGTATCGAAGCAGTGCCGTGGCCGAGACCCCCGGCTAGAGCAGACACCCCCATGCTCAGTGCCGCAGTCGTCAAAGCCAGCGGAGCCCCCGAAGGGAGACTAGAATCCCTCTCTAGGTGCGCGCTTAAGAAAGTGAAAACACCTTACCCATGGTTCACCCCATGAGTTGCGGACAATCCAGTACTCGGTCCCGTTGCTGACACCCCAGCCAGCCACCGAGACGATGTGGTTTATGGAGGCCTCCTCGCTGTATTCCGCGTAGATGCCGCCAGAGTATTTATCCATACTTTCTGTCGCCATGATCCCGCAGCTGAGAGCAAGCAGTTCAGAAAGTACAGCGTTAAAGAGCCGGCCCTTGTTAGGTGTGATCTGACTCTATCACTTGTAAATCCAGGTCAGGTAACCAGATGACTCTGGAGGAACTTCGTTCCTTTATTTGCTCAGCGTCTCTGCTGCTGAAACAATACCCCGAACATCTCCCCAGCGCTCGGTGCTGCTTGGGGCCCTTTTCCACGTGTGTGTATGTTGTTGCTAGGTGCCATCGACTCGGTTCCGGCCTTCCGACCCTTAGGAACCCCAAGTGACAGAGCAGAACTGCCCCATATGGTTTCCTAGACCACAGTCTTTATGGAGGAGGCCTGGTGGTGCAGTGGTTAAGGGCTTGGCTGCTAACCGAAGGTCAGTGGCTCGAACCCCCCAGCAACTCCACAGGAGAAAGATGCGGCAGTCTGCTTCCGTAAAGGTTACAGCCTCGGAAACCCTATCAGGCAGTACTCTGACCTGTAGGGTTGCTATGAGTCGGAATTGACTCGAAGGCAATGGGTTGATCTTTATGGGAGCATATTGGTAGGTCTTTTCTCCTGCAGAGCTGCTGGGTGGGTTCAAATCGCCAACCTTTCGGTTAGCAGCCGACTGTTAACCATTGTGCCACCAGGGCTCCTAACTTATGTATATATGTATATACACAGGAGCCCTGGTGGCGTAGTAGTTAAGAGCTCAGCTGTTACCAGAAGGTTGGCAGTTCGAATGCACCAGCCGCTCCTTGGAAACCCTATGGGGCAGTTCTACTCTGCCCTCTAGGGTCGCTATGAGTCGGAACCGACTTGATGGCATCGGGTTGGATTTGGTTTGGTGTAGCGTATATGCAGATGTATTTTTAAACTCACAATAATCCTATGAGGGGCGGAATCATTAGTTCAGTTTTACTTCCGAGAAAACTGCAGAGCTGAGAGGCGAAGTCCTGTGGCAGCGGTGTGATGAGCGTGGTGAGCCAGCCTGGCCTGAGCGGAGCACAGGTGACACTCCCCGGCCGCCAGGCCCCCAGTGCCTACCTGATGGGGCCATTGGCGTAGATTTCTGCCATCATTTTCTTCCGCCCAGAGAGGGAGCCGTAGTCGCCGACCTTCCAGAGGGTGTAGTTCTGGATGACGTGGCACACTTTGAACTCCGTGCACGTGCCACACTGGTTAAATTTGTCACACTCTGCGGGGGAAGGGGCGAGGAAGGTCAGTGGGCGCCGTCTCCTCGTTACCACTCAGCAAGGGCCCCAACCCCCCCAAAGCCGCTCTCCCCGCCTAGTTTAGCCTCCCGTTCACTAGCTGATAACGGAAACAATCTCGGTACCGGGTCCTGTCTAATGCTGCCCTTTCAGCTGCGAAGGAGTTACGACAAGGCCCTTCCCGGGCCTTGGGTAAAAGAAGACAATCGCTAATTAGCACGTAGTAGGCGTTCAAGAGTTAGCCTTTTTCTTGTTCTTTAAAGACCTTTTCACAACACTTCATAGCTGAAGATTAAGCGTCATCCAATTATTAGCACATAATAAGGTGATTCTATTGCTGGTCGGTGAATAAATAGGATAATGCGTTTGAAAAAGAAGCCTCTTTTGTTATTCTGGTTTGAGGAAGTATTAAGAATTAAGGGGAAAAAAGCGTCAGGCTGTGAGACTCCCCCCAACCCCCGCCGGTGCCCCCCAACCCCTGCCGGTGTGCCCCCCGGCCCCCCATCGCCCTGCTCGGGCCTCGCCCGCTACCATTTCTGTTACAGTCACACACCTGTCCCCCTCCTCCAGGACAGTACCCTCCTTGAGGACCAAACTGTTGGGTTAACTGTCCCTTGGACACTGATGCCTGGTTCCCAGCACAATGGGAAGCGGTGGGTGGGTGGCCATGTTGCCAGTACAAAGACGAGTCTGCTTATTGCAAACCCTCAGGCTCCCGTGCGTCCCACCTGCTCTGTCACGTGAGGGGGGACCAGAGGGGCCGGCCTCGGCTGGACTAGACCGGTTTGGGTGGAGTGGGGCAGGGCGGGCCCAGCTCCGGGGACTCACCCGACCAGCCTGGGAAAATTCCTTCTGCTGGGCAGCAAGGCCTGGGAGGCAAGGCAGGGGCCTCCGTGGGTGTGCTGCGGCGTCAGCTCCAAGGGCACAGCGGGGAGCAAACCCCTTTATGGATGGGGAGGCCGGGGAGGGGGCTGGGGAGGCAGGCGCCCAGGGCTCCTGCGCTTTCTCCTCTCCTCCCCAGTCTCCACCCTGGCTGTGAAGGAGGTCTGACAGGGCCCATGACCTCGACCTGCCAATTACAGGTTTGGGGTTTGGGGCTAGAACATTTCCTTTAGTCTCTAAGAGCAGCAGCCTGAGAGGAACATGCCCCCTACAGCAGTCCGGCCCAGTGCGGGCTGCTCCTTCCTGCCCCTGGCCCACCTCACCTGGGTGCCCAGGCCTAGGCTGCTTCCAGCACTGCTGGCTTCCAGCTTTGGGGCACCTGCCTGCTCTCCACCCAGCTCCAAACAGCCACCTCTCACGCCACTGCACCCTACGAGCTCTGTCAGAGGCCCCGTGACACCACCTAAATGCCAGCATGCCAGAGTCCAGGCACCGCGTCCAGGTGTCTCCACCCGTCCCCATGGGGACAGAAGGTCGTGGCACACTATGAGACACGGGGGCTGGGGGCTCCACAGCTCCTCTGCCCCGACCCCGCCCCGCCTCCCAGAGGCAGGGCCCAGCCACCTGGTCCTGCCTGTACTGTCCGCACGCTGCGCACGGGGAGGGCACGGCTGGCCGGGGACCTACCCTGGTCCTTGGCCTGGTAGTTGTTACAGGTCTCGTCGGGGATGCCGTGCGTGTGGGCGTAGGCCCACACCAGCAGGTCGTTGCCACCCTCGCAGGAGCCTGCGTCACCGCAGTCGATGACGTTCTGCACGGACAGCAGGGTGGACGGCCACGCGCCCTTCCTCTTGATGTTGATCCGGTCTGCAGGGACAAGGTGGGGTCAGGCCAGGCAGTACCCACTCCCACCCAGGCTGCCGCAGGGCCCGCCACCCCTCCTGCGACCTTCCTGCCTCCACGGCCTCCCCCAGCGGAGCCCTTTCCGAGCAGACGCAGTGGTGCCGCCTGACCGCCCCTGCTCCGAGGCTGTGTGCGCCCACACCGTACTGTCTGTCCTGCTATCACAGGCTCCCTGGCGCCTCGCCTGCACAGGTGCCAGCAAACGCAGGATTACCGGAAGACAAGACAGCCCCTGCCTGTGTGGCCCCATGTGGAGAGGGCCATGAGGGAAGCCTGGCTTGGGGGCCTGACTTGTCCAAGAGGAAGGGAAGGCTGGCAGCCCGACCCGAAGGCCCAGCACCCAGTGCTGCCTGGTGCCCAGGCCATTGCCCCTCACTGCTTGCATGCCTGGCTCACACACTCCTGTGGGGCAGCCAGGGCCACCGAGGGCACCACAGCCCCACACCAGGCCCCACACTGCTGACCAGCCTGTGTCCCTCTCCACACACAAATCCCAGAGGTGGCCCCACGGCCCCACTGGACAATGCCACCTCAGTTCCCTGGCCATCTTGCTGTCCCCCTCTCCCAAGAGAATGATGTCACAACCACCCCACCTCAGCTGCTTCCCCTCATCTTGTATTCCCACCTCCAAGTCAGCTCAGGCCGAATCCCATTTTCTCTGCCCACCAGCAACCCCTCCACAGGCCCTTCCCGTCCACAGCCTACCCGGCCTCACATCCCTGAGGTCTCTGAGCAGCCCCTCTCCCACCCAGCCCTGTGCCTTCTGGAACTCACCATCACCGTCCTCAGCCCCTTCCCCAAACGCTCCCTTCACGTTTCCTCTGCCTGGAACGTTCTTCCCCCAACAGACCAAAATCTCTACCCTCTATGGCTCACTGTATAGTGGGGGTAGTGGGTTGGTATCCCCCAGAATTCATGTCCACTGGGAACCTCAGAGTATGACCTTATCTGGAAAGAGGGTCTTCGCAGAAGTAATCAGCTAAGGATCCTGAGGTAAGGGTGGGTCCTACTGCAGTGACTGGTGCCCTCATAGGCAGAGCAGAGGGCAAAGGGCAGAGAGCCATGTAAGGACGGAAGCAGACTGAAGTGATGCGGGCCAGAAGCCAAGGAACACCTGGGGCCACCAGACGCTGGAAGATGCAAGAAGGATCCTACCCTGCAAGCTTTCAGAGGGCGCACAAGCCTGCCAACATGGTGACTTCAGACTTCTGGCCTCCAGAACTGTGGGACAATAAATTTCTGTTGTCTCCAGCCACCAAGTTTGTGGTAATTTGTTACGGCGGCCATAACCCGGCCCATGGCAGTGGAGTCGATTCCGACTCATAGCCTCCCTAGAGGACAGAGTAGAACTGCCCCATAGGGTTTCCAAGGAGCGGCTGGTGGATTCCAACTGCTGACCTTTGGTGAGCAGTCAAGTTCTTAACCACTGTGCCACCAGGGCGTCTCACAGCCATAGGAAACTAATATAGTGGGGGAGGCAAGACAGTAGAAATAAATGTGTAAAACATAAAGCATATAAGGCTATGAAGAAAAATAAGGATAGATTACCAGTGAGGAAGACCTCATGGAAGTAAGGTTCAAAGGAGGAAGGGAGGGAGCCGTGAGGATATGTGGGAAAGAAGGTTCTAGACAGTGTACCTGGCATAAGAAGAACCACACTTCACCCCTTTGGGAGAGCAGGGGATTGTGGGGAGATGGGTCCAGTAAGTTGTAGGGAGCCAGGCCCTAGGCTCTTGTAGGTCAAGTACGGGTTCCGTCCTGAATGAGGGAGACCATTCAAGGGTTTCGAGCAGAAGAGCAACGTGACCTGACTTGGGTTTTAATAGGCTCCCCCTGGGTGTCTGAGACCAGACAGGAGGGAGGCAAGGGCAGAAGCAGGAAGCCCAACTGAGAAGTGACTGCCGGTGTCCAGGTGGAAGACGAGGGTCGCTTGGACCAGGGCATCGCAGTGCCAGGAGAGGAGATGAAGTCTGAATGTGTTTTGAAGATAGAACAAGCAAGATTTGTCAATGGGACATTGGTGACTGGCGGGGGAAGCAAACTATGGCCTAGCTGTGCTGGGTGACTGGTGGGTGGGCACCCATGGAAGTCCCCTGCTGCTGGGGAGATGTCAGAGACCCAAGGACGTCAAAGGGGTGAAGCGAAGTCTACTGGGAGAGCCTTCACTCCAGAATACAGTGGGCTGGAGCCCCTGGGGTGCACCCAGCTCCTTCCAACCCACCCCAAAATTTTATACACAGCACTTATGTCCGGCCACTCCCTAAGTTCCCTTGGGGCCCCCACCAGGCCACCGGTGAGGCCCCAGCTGACCTTTCCAGTTCTCCCCTCCCCTCCTTGCCCCACCCTCGCCCTCTCCCACAAAGAGCCTTTTGGTTCCTCAATGGGTCGTGCCCTGGGCCTTTGCCCTGATCCCTCAGGCCTCCCGCCCTGACGCCCACTCGGGGTGCAGGCTCTAGTACTATGTTGTCTGGGGCCTGCACGTCTGCCCCACCCCAGCTGGAGGGGCCTGCCCAGTAGGCCGAGGCCCCAATCTCTGAGCATTGGGGCTCCCACAGCTTACAGTGGGCCTCAGCCCACTACTCCCCTTCCTATGCCTTCTGGAAGGTTCAGAAGTGCATTCCACCAAGGGGCCTCCTTCTCACGGATCTCCAAGGGGAGATGGAGTTGGGCCACCCAACAGACTCCGCCAGATGCCACAGCTAGAGCTGGCTGGCTCGGGGTCCAGAGATAGCCCATCTGGTCCTGACCCACCCCAGAGCAGAAATCCCTGGTCCTAAAGGCACAGCCCAGAGA